ACTGCTGAATTGTGAAAGGTATTCTTCGTTGGGAGAAAGCGAATTGTTATTTACGATGAGATGCTGTGTATTTCTCTCTCTCTCTCTCTCTCTATTTCTCTTGTATTCAACTCGTTTTAACCCCCTTTTATACGACTATATACGGTAACTGGTCAAATTTCTTCCTTGAATAGATCACCCACTCAATTTTAGTAGTGCCTCTGTGCAAATATTCCCTTCCTCCTTTGGTGTATGACAATATAAAGGTCCATTAAAGATCTCATTCTATGTCTGTTTGTGCCGCACTGAAAAACAGCACTTTCCAAACTAAAATAATACTTGACATTTTTGCCTTAAGACCAGATTCTCAGTCTCGCTTTCAAATATGCACTCGTCAAGTTGTTTTTTTTATATATATTTTCTTTGACGAGAGGATGTAGCCACTTGAATTTGAAAATAAAATTAAATGCATCAATAAATTATTTTTATACTTCACGAAGGGGAAAAAAAAAATTATGTACCTTGAACAACAAAAATGGTTGCTATGGAAACAGTTGCCATAGTAACGGTTGCTATGGAATCAGTTGCTATAGAAACGGTTGCCATAGTAACGGTTGCTATAGTAACGGTTGCTATGGAAACAACTACTATGGAAATGGTTGCTATGGAAACAGTTGCCATAGTAACGGTTACTATGGAATCAGTTGCTATAGAAACGGTTGCTATGGAAACGGTTGCTATGGAAACGGTTGCTATGGAAACAACTACTATGGAAATGGTTGCTATGGAAACAGTTGCTATAGAAACGGTTGCTATAGAAACGGTTGCTATAGAAACGGTTGCTATAGTAACGGTTGCTATAGTAACGGTTGCTATGGAAACAACTACTATGGAAATGGTTGCTATGGAAACAGTTGCTATAGAAACGGTTGCTATAGAAACGGTTGCTATAGTAACGGTTGCTATAGTAACGGTTGCCATAGTAACGGTTGCCATAGTAACGGTTGCCATAGTAACGGTTGCTATAGTAACGGTTGCTATAGTAACGGTTGCTATAGTAACGGTTGCTATGAAAACAACTACTATGGTAATGGTTGCTATGGCAATAGTTTGCATGGAAACGGTTACTATGGTAACAATTACCATGGCAACCGTATGAATTTAAAACTTAAAGATGGACGCCAAAGAAAAACTATAAGAGTTTCGGCCATGTGCTACGAAACCCTAAAAAAAATGTTTGTGCTATTTTTGGAAGAATCGTACGCATATTATCTTGAAGCGGAATATTAAATTGAAGTATATAAAAATTTTTCCCCCCGTGTGGAATTGAAAAAAATAATACCCCAAGGACTATGTTCTTCACAAATACGATGCAATAAAATTGTAATAGTTTTCCTTTTTGCATTTATCATCTTTTTTTTCAATCTTTAGCACAAAAAAAATATATTTTTCCATATACTCTCCTCCTTTTGATAAAAAAAAAAGAGAAACGAACTATTCAAAATGCAGATAATCAAGTCGGAAAGAATAAATGATAAAAAAAAAAATGGCATAAAAATTGAACTATAAAAGCTTTTCTGTCGATAAAATTGAGCTTCTTTCATTTGGGGAGGGATTTTTTATTCATAAGGTAGCTTTTATTGTCGTCGAATATTAAATTTACGTTCCTCTTGAGCACTGCAAAACTCTTCAGTTGCAAGTGCGTCCCTGTGCGTATCGCGATTGCTGGTTTCCGGCAACGAAAGACGTAGAGGTCGAGAAAAAGAGAGAGAGAGAGAGAGAGAGAGAGAGAGTGGCTGAGACACGATGAGAGTATAGAGAAAACGGAGGAGAAAAAATGAACGATATACCTTGTGGTCGTAACTTAATGTTCCCGAAGAAATGAACGACTTGCGGCATATATCAAAGCGCGGACAGACGTAGGTATAAATGATATAAATAAAATCAACTTGAAGTACCCAAGCGATTTATCATTCGACAGTTTCCACTTCTTTTACGCTTTTAAAAAAGAGAGGGGGAACCCTTCGCGGTAAATACATTTTTTTTTTTTTTAAATATATATATAAATTCATCTCTAACGCCTCTTTCTTTGCATCATTTAACTTTTCACATGGCGGCAAAAAAATTATGGTAACGGCATTATTACCTTTATTTGACATTTTTATACTTTAAATATATTTATATGCCTCGACCTGTATGCGTGTTTATTAATTGTCGGCCTCGCAAATTAAAAACATTCATAATTAGATGTCTTGCAAGACTAATTAACAGCAATTTAAAATCATGATTCTGAGAAGTTGAAGAAACCCGCATGAATAAAAATATATTTTCATTTGAGATTATTAAAAAAAAAAAAAATCGAAAAGATAAAATAAGACTTAATGTATATTAAATTTTATATATTAATAACTGAAATTTGAAAAAAATTTAATTTACACAAAAAAAAGAATAGTTAAAAATTGTTATATTATTATTTTATAATGTTAAAAAATATTACTGTGCAGAAATTTTGAAAAGTCCCTGTCAGGGTCTACGTTGGGAAGCTCAAAATCCACATGAAACAGGGAATCAGATCGGGGCCGAAGAAGAAAGCTTTATTTCAGTCCGATTAAAATCGATTAAAAACGGGGCCCGACCAGGGCCTGGTTTGGCCCCTTTCGTGTTCCCTGTTTAAACCAGATCAGAACCAGGTTGGCGAATTTCTGCACGCGTTATAATATTAAAATACTATCATATAATATTATAATATTTTAATAATATAATAATAATTATAATAATAATTATTATAATAATATAATAATAGGTAACGTTGGCAACAATTATGCATGCGATATTTGTAAATAGGAGATAGATAATACATTATATATATATTGTATATTCGATTGGGTAATGGTTGATGCTATCAAATCGAAAGATCCGACGATGATCGGAGATCGATGATGCCAGCAGCAATGCGATCCGAGTGGTACGGCAGATAAAGGGAATGTGACCTGTAAATCGGTATCGTGATACAGCGAAACTTGGCGGAGAAACGTGGGCGACTTGTTTTGTTATACACGCTGATTTGCATGTTCTTCAAGTTTTCCAAACGTTCAAATGATCAAAAAAAAAAAAAAATTTGTTTCACTCTCTTTTACGGTATTAAATTACACACAATAAATTGTAATGACATTTTTGCCATTTTTTTTTCGATTAGACAAATATTGCAATATTTAAGAAAATTGAGAATGACGATTGTTTGCCAAAAAATTGACTTTTACCACTTATAACAATGTCCAATGAAATTGTCCAATGAGGACTGATTAATACTACTGAGACCAAATTTTACAAAAAAATTTTTAATCTCACTGACTAACTGGCAAAGTTTTATTACTGAGGACTATTGCTAAAACTAACATTTACTACTAATAAGAAAATATTGTAGAAATTATTAATGTTGTCTGACGAATACTGACTTTTACTACTGATATTAAATTTACAAAAATCTGTAAGTCTAACTCGCATTTACTACCAATGCAACAATTACAGGAATTCAAAAATGTCTGACTAAAACGAGCTTTTACTACTAACAGCAAAATAACAATAATTTATAGCATTGTCTGACTAAAACTATCTTTTACTACTGCTGCAATAATTAGAATTAAAATTCTGTTTAAAAAAAAAGGTTACGATTAATAGAAAAATTAAGTCTGACTCTTACTGACTCTTACTACTGAAACAAAACTTACACAAATTTGGAAATCTGACACAAACTATATATTTCCGTATTAATACTAAATAAGAAATTAAAATTTCTCTCTAAATGTAACTTTTGAAATTACTGTTTGAAAATTTTTGCAAAAATGTGCTGTGTTGTCTGACTCAAACTTGACGTTACTACTTAAATTAAAAGTTACAAAAATTTATCAGTATGACTGAAATTGACATCTTATACTAAGAAAAAAAAATTACAAGAATTTTTAGTCTGACCAATACTGACTTTTACTACTGAAATCGAATTAAATTTTTAAAAATTCAAAAGCAAGTCTGACCAAACTTGACTTCTACTACTATTAAAATTACAAAACCAAAAATTTTGCCTAACTGAAGCGGACTCTAATCTACTAATACAAAAATTACAAGAATTTATAAAATTTCGTCTGACTAAAACTGAGTTTTACTACTGAAATCGAATTAAATTTTTAAAAATTCAAAAGCAAGTCTGACCAAACTTGACTTCTACTACTATTAAAATTACAAAACCAAAAATTTTGCCTAACTGAAGCGGACTCTAATCTATTAATACAAAAATTACAAGAATTTATAAAATTTCGTCTGACTAAAACTGAGTTTTACTACTGAAATCGAATTAAATTTTTAAAAATTCAAAAGCAAGTCTGACCAAACTTGACTTCTACTACTATTAAAATTACAAAACCAAAAATTTTGCCTAACTGAAGCGGACTCTAATCTATTAATACAAAAATTACAAGAATTTATAAAATTTCGTCTGACTAAAACTGAGTTTTACTACTGAAATCGAATTAAATTTTTAAAAATTCAAAAGCAAGTCTGACCAAACTTGACTTCTACTACTATTAAAATTACAAAACCAAAAATTTTGCCTAACTGAAGCGGACTCTAATCTACTAATACAAAAATTACAAGAATTTATAAAATTTCGTCTGACTAAAACTGAGTTTTACTACTGAAAGAATATTTTTTCATTAAAATACCAAGTTCCAAGAGTAAAATATATTGAATAATATTAAAATAGAAATTTATTTTGAAAAAATATAATTAAATTATATAATATTATGCAATATAAATCATTATACGATCTCATATTATATGATTTAAAAATCACACGTTAGTTGATATTCAGCCAAATATTTAGACGAATCTGTGAAGATATGCTTGTGATTCTATATATATATATATATATATATATATATATATATATATATATATATATATATATATATATATAATATATACGTATATATTTATATCTAACGTAATGTTTGTTTGTTTTTTTTCAGGTAAGCCAGAGTCTCTTTATGGTCGAGCGAGTCTGGGAAATGCAGGACACCGGTTCAAGGCGGCTAACAGTAAGTCGATCTCTCCTGTGGAGATTCTGAACGCGCGAGAGTTAATATTCATCGGGCCGAGGTTCGAGTCGAGGTCAAATTGGGCCGAATATCTCGCTCTCTTTCCTTTTTTTTTCATTCTCTCGCAAACGAGTGACAAATCTTTTGTTATTCCTTAGCGCCGGTTTTAAATATATTTCGATTCCGTTAAAAAAAAGCTTCAAATACTGAATTTACTTCCATATAGTCAAGAGAAACAATACACAATGTTTTTATACATTATTTGTTAGTTATTATTTTTACTACTATTATTATTATAATTTTTATTATTATTATTTTAACTATTATTAATGACAAATTATCTGTTTTATACTGAATTTTCGACTCAACTTGGACCGATGATTTATTTTCTTTTTTTTTATTATTCTGACCTATATAATGAAAAAACATACGTAAGTACATACGTATGTTTTTTCATTAGAGTCTTATTAAATTTTTGTTTTTTTATTTTTGCACTTTTTTCTGTGTGTGCATTTGATATTAACAATTGATTTTGATTATTGTTTGACTAATTAACATTTTTTTGGTACTTTTTTTTACATACACATTTTTTTTTGGTGTCATGGAAAAAATTTATTTGAACGAGAAATTAGTCGGAGAAATCTGTCATTTCACAAAGAGATTCAAGAAAGAAAAAAAAAGTAAATAAAAGAAGCGGACGTGAAATATTGTTAAAATTGTAGTCATTGGGAAGGAAAGTTTCGGGCAGGTAAAGCTCTCTTTCTTTCTTTCTCGTATAAAATAGGGGGGAAGGGGGTTGAGTGGAATTGTTCCTGGTAAAAGGTGGTGAGGTGTACGAGGGCAAAGTAATTATTCATGGGGAAAAAGAGTAGAGAGAAAAAAAAATGTAGAAAACGGACGTAGCTTTAGGGAATAAAGTACGGGCACGATGGTATAGTTGGGCGTCAGAGAAAGAGAGAGAAAGAAGGATAGAGTAAAACGACGTCAGGAAATATATACATATATATATATATATATATAAAAGAGAAAAGGGAGATGAAGTAAAAAAGAATGAGAAGAATCGGAAGGGAAATGAAGGAACAGGAAAGTGGCGAGTGAAGGAAGAGCGAAAAGAGAAAAGGAAGTTGAGAAGAGAAAAAAGAAAAGATCTCGCGGGACTCGTTCCGCGGAAGACCCACGACCACTTGGGGAAGAGTCTCCTTCGGTCTTTTCGCGCAAAATTTACTGCGTTAAACGGTCGTCTACACTCGCGCTCTCACCTACATATATATTTTTTTTTTCACCCCAAAAATGAATTCCACTTTCTTTTATATTTTTGTTCATTTTTCTTTTTTATTCAACATATAATTTTTTTTCCCGAGGAAAAAACTATTTCTTTGCTGGTAAATTTGCATTACAATTATAGATATTATTTTCGTTGGAAAATAGAGAAAATTATTTTCGCAAAAATTTCTTTAGGGTAAAAAAAAATGGGAGTAGGGTCAGTGATACGGGAAAATCGCGTTAATTTTGGGACAAAAAAAGAAAAAAAAATATAAATAGGGCCAACGTGCAGGAGAATGAAATAAATCGCGTGAATTTTCGACGCGTGCAATGCAGCCACTGGTTCGTCGCACGTGCGTAGGCAAATATTTGAAATTCGTCGGGCGTTTGCGAACCAGCCGAGAACTGACTACGCGGTCGCAATCCAGGAGTAGCAATCAGACCCCGAAAAAAGCCGGAGGACAAAAAAAAAAAAGAAAAAAAAAAAAAAAAGAACGCGGCACACGCACCAAAAGCACAGTTTATCCCTTTCACGTAACAATCCTCCTTTTGTAATCGCGTGTTTGCGAAAAAAACTTTTTAATATCCGCAGAAATTAAAACCTCCCCCCCCCTCTTTCTCTCTCTTTCTCTCAGTCACTCTCTGCTGTTTTTAATCCCTGGCAAGAAAAAAAATTTATAAATTTTATGATCAAACTTTTTATTCATAAAAAATATAACCTTTTTTAAATTAAATTTTAACAAATATTATTAATTACTCTAGTATTTTAACTAATTTTAATTTGTTTTTGAATTAGCAAAAATTGAGAAAAAAAAATTCTTTTTCCAAGACATACATTTTTTTGAAATCTTTTTTTTTCAAAAACAATTTTTTCTTCTATCAAAACAAAAAAAAAAAAGTAACTTCTTTTCACAAATGTTGAAATGTAATTTAAACTTTTTTTTTTGTTTTGTTTGTGAAAAAAAAGAAAACATTTCTCTCTGTCTAAGTGAAAAATTGAATTTGTAGGAAAAAAAAGGAAAATGGAATTTTTTGTTTTTACAAAGAGAAAAACAGTTTTTTTTTTTTTTTTGATAAATCGAAATTGCATTTGATTGGTGACAAGTATTGTTAAATTGGATACATTTGGTTGTTTGCTTTTTATCCTGACATCGATTTACAGTGCAAAGAGAGTGTTTTCCAAGTATTGCGACTATTTTTCTTTTTAAAACGTAAAAGAGAGAGAGAGAGAGACTCTCTTTCTGTCGTCGAAGCTTGTTGGGGGTACTTTCGACCACGCGTTCGAACTTTCTCGATCTACTTTTTCTGCATCTCTTTTTTCTCTTTCTCTTTTGCCCCTAACCAACCCCCTTTTCTTCGTTTCGTTCGTTCGCAAACATCGGGGTTGCCACCCGCGTCTACTCTATGGAATGCGCCGGAATTCCGCGGCGGCTGCGAGCGACGAGATAAATTTTATTTAACTCCTTTATTCGACGCGAGTGAGCACTGTCTATGAACGTATACCCACCGTTGTTGGTAACGTATATATATATATATATATTTTTTATTTCATCATTCTCTAAAATTTCTCTTTATATATTAAACAAAAGTGGCATTTATTTTCTATCCTTTTCTTCATTTTCATTTTTTGCTAAATAGAAAAAAATATATGAATATAATAAATATATAAATATATAAAAGAAAAAAAATTTAATACAAATATAATAAATAGTTACAAAAAAGGAAGATAAAAAAAAATGTTATTAAAGTAACAATGCTCGGTTCTTTCATTTTGAAAGAAAATTTTTTAATATATACAAATAATAAATAATTAAAAAGGAAATATTAATTATTTAACAAAACAATGGGTATAAAATGAAAACAATAGAAGAAGATGGAATTAAATTCTGTTTCTTTCTATAAATTAAACTTTTCATTATTAAAATTTAGCCGATTTTTCCAGTGGCGGAATGTACTGCTCTAATGGTTAATTTTTGCTAGGGAAATAATATATTAAATAATTAAAATAAATAAAAAATTAATTTACGAATTATAAAAAAGAGAAATATAATTATAGTTCACTAATAGAAATGCCTAGACATAAATTAGTGAAAAAATTAGTTTACCCAATGTAGTAACAATTAAAATGTGTTTTCGCTAAATGGAACATTTTTCCAATTTCATTTTCTTTCAATCATTTTTTCTTTCGTTTCTGTGAACATGTCGGGTGATATGGTCGAGAACGGTGGCGTTAATGGTGACGTGGGATCCCCATCGTTTCTCATTCCTCTCTCTCTCTCTTTCTCTCTCACTCTCTCTTTCTCGACCGACGAAGGATCGAGCAGTGTCATTTTCTTCTCGCGTATCTTTCTTCCTCGTTTTTTCCTTTCGGGAGGTAAACGACAGTCATTATTAATGGTCGTATAACTAACGCCGCCGCTCGACGTCGAACGCAATGAAATACCCGTTTTCGAGAGTCCTTTCCTATATATAGAAAAAGAGAGAGAGAGAAAGAAGAAGGTTTACGCGACATGTACATTATTTCCCAATTATTATACGTTATATGTTCCGATAGAATTTCAACTATTTCTTTTATATATTGCATTGCTAACTAGATAAAACGCAAAAAAAAATTATAAATAATTTTTTTTTTTTAATTACGAAATAAAGTTTGTCGTCTGACTAAAATTTGCTTTTACTACTGATGCAAAAAATAAAAGAAGTCTGAATAAAACCTACTTTTACTACTGATAACAAAACTCGATTAAAGTAGAGTGAAGTCTGAGTGAAATTGACTTTTACTACTAGTGTCAAAATTGACGAAAATTGTTGGTAAGACTGAAACTAAATTTACTAATAGTACAAAAAGTGGAAACGTCTGACTAAAAGTGACATTTACTACTGATGATAAAATTCCAAAAATTCACAGCATAGTCTGACTGAAACTTACTTTTGCTACTTAATAAAAAAAATACAAGAAGTCTGACTGGAACTATCTTCTACTACTTAAAACAAAATTACAAAAATTCATTTCCTTGTCTGGCTGAAAATTTCTTTTACTACTAAATTCAAATTTAGTCTGACTGAAACAAACTTTTAACACTGATATTAAAATTACACAAAAATTCTGTCCAACTAAAACTGTCTTCTACTACTAATATTAAAACAACAATAATTTACTATCTTGTCTGACGAAAACTGACTTTTACTACTGAAATAAAATTTATTTTACATTTTTATTCGAAAATTCCCTTAAAACTTTGATTTAATATTAATGGACAATTTCAATAGAATAAATATAAATTCATTTTGGCATAATATCTTAATTAATAACAACACTATTGACTTGCAATGCAAACAAGAACATTAAACTTATTCGACGTATCTACGTGGGAAGATATTAATTTTATTTATGTTTCACATACGTACGTCGATAAATTATTTATCTGAAACTACTTGAACGTATACTGTATATTAATTTATATTTACTGTTTCATTAAAACTTTTTATTAAAATTATATCTGAATTATTCGCACCAAATTTTGAAATCGTAAAAAAATTTCACTTTACTTTTACTAAATAAAATAGAAAATTTTCAAATAGTAAAAAGTTACTTTATATTCACCCACACTAAGAGAAATGTTTTATTTGAACCAAATATAATATATTTAAATTAAATAAACATATATTTATCTCAGAGCCTAATATTTATTGCAAACAAACATTTATCTGTTGTAAATAAATTTTTATTTAATTAA